ATATTTTAATTTTTATACTCGGGTCGAATACGAATATGTCCAAAACCCGACCCAATTCGACCCCTTCGGAGCACTAACCACCGCCACCAACACGAGCTTAAAAATGAGTTGGGGTTAGGAATAGGAATCGATTAATAATTTTGATTAATCGATTTTCAATTTGAGAATCGATTCTTAACCCCAAAATTAATTTTTCAAGACGATGATGACAACGACAGTAACAATAACGACAGCAATAACGACGATGATAACAGCAATAATGATGACGACGGTGATGACATAACTGGTCTTTGGTTTTTGTTTTTGATTTTTTTCCCTTTTCATTGGAATAGTTAAAGTTTTACTTGAAATTAGTTGAATTCGTAAAGATTTTATGTGTTAAAGATATTATAGAGGCAATTGAAGTATTGTGATTCTGTAGCCGTTTTATTACATGTATTTTCTGTCGTTTCATAAATATCAGTTGCTTTTGACATTAGTAGTTATTAAACTCAATATTGGCAATAAGTTTCTTGATTATTATAAGTGACAGAGTATGTATGCACTCACAGTAGTAACACTCGATTTGCAAACATCAACATAAATTTAAATGTGGCGGTTTTCTCCCTTTTTATTGCAAATTTTTTTTTATTTCTTTTGAACATACACTGGGCGAAATTTGTTGGCTGTAAATATAACTCTAGTTGACCGACTTTGTTTGACAAGGGTAAAATGGATAATTTTTATTGGGGTTTTGAGTGCAAGAAAAATGATTTGTGACTTGATGACAGGATAATGATCCCTTGCCAAATACAAGAGAAATAGGAAAAAAGAAAATTTACCAGGGTCTGGAAGGTCACAAGCTCAAAAAAAATGCACATTTACAAGAAGCTAAAAAAGACAATCTAAGCCATTTCGTGATATTGTCAACAAAAAATCTTTGTAAAAATTTACTCAAAGATTCTTTAAGGTAATTTCATCCTTTTTCATAATATATTATGCTCATTAATTTGAAAAAATATGACATTTTAGCTTAACTCTAACTCTAACCCTAATTCTAAAAAGATCCCGAAATAGGAATGTTTAATGATTATGAACTAATTAACGTATTCTCACAGATCTGGCTTCATAAAAAATATCTAGAAACCATTGTAAAACAATATAAAAGCTTTTTGAAAATTGCAAACATGCTCTGAAGAAAGTGTAGTCAAAATTTAATGTGTTAGTTTGGGGTAGAATGTGAGCTCGATGCCGTAAGGAATTGAAGCCATATAAAAGGGGTGGATAATGTATTAGTTAATAATAAAAAATTATATATATATAAAATATATGAAGTAGAAATGAAATCGAAAATTTCATTTTTTAAAAAAATTGGGCAATACTTTTTGAGGGTACTGAATATTTCACAAGTGAAAATCATGATATTTAAATTAAATTTTAATCGATTCTCAAATATTAACTATAAAATTATGTAATGAATTCTCAAAATCGATTCCTATCCCTACTATAAACCTATAAACACGTACATATTTTAATTATTAAATCAACTAATAGAATAGAACAAATATTCTCTGTAAAGTGAGTAAAATATTTATACTTGAGAAAGTTCTCGAGCTAATGCTAATATCAATATTGGGAAGTTTTGTCAGTTCCCGGAGGAACATAACATAGCTAAATTAGATAAATCACCTATTGATTTCTTATATATATATATATATATACAGTATATGAAAATCAGAAACCAGATGTCATTCAATATCCAGAACACTCAACATTCCTAATGCTAATATCCCAAAAATCCAATATCTCGATAGTTATCATTATCGTTTTCCCATATCCACATCAATTGGTATTACAAGAAATACATAAATATTATTTTATAATCATTTTTAACATTTCAGAATTTTAAATATCAGGATAATGGACTTTTGGAATTTTGTTTGTCAGACATATCAGCTATAAGAATTGTGATTTTCAGGATATCATGAAAATTCTGCGGCTATTTTCAACTGCGAAACTTAAAGAAACTGCTCTAATTTCTTTGCTTAAATGAATTCATAGTTCTTAGTGATGAACTATTCAAGTTTTCGATTCTGAGAATGTTAATTTTTTGATTTCTGTAAGAAATACACATAAAACAGATAAATTCACACTCAAACAATGTTTATTGTTGATTCATTATAATCAAGTAATGCCTTGTTTAGAGCTTTCACATCAACGTGAAATGATTTAACTAATCTATACTCAATATACATACTGCAACTGATGGTGAACTATTCAAGTTTTTGATTCTGAGAATATTGATTTCTTGATTTCTGTAGAAAAATGCACACAAAATGAATTTAGACAAATAAATTCACGCTCAAACAATATTTACTGTCAATTCACTATAATCAAGTATGTAATACTCTATTTAGAACTTTCACAACAATGTTAAATGATTTAACTAATCTATGCCCAATGTACATACTGCAACTGATGGTGAACTGTTTAAGTATTCAATTTTGTGAATGTTGATTTTTTGTTTCCTGTAGAAAAATACTAAAATTCACACTCAAATAATATTTATCATTATGTAATTTATTATAATCAAGTAATACCTTTTTTAAAACTCTCATATTTATATTAAATGATTGTTTAACTGATTCATATCTAATGTATATATCGTGACAAGTATCTGGTTTATCAAAATAAATTTTATACTGATTTTCATGTGAATTTCATCTATTTATAATAATAAATAATAACAACTTAAATATTTGAAAGTCGCAAATATTGTTAATAACATTAATCATGAAATGAAAAAAATATGTACATATTTATATTGTATTTAATTTTTTATCTAGCAGATCTTTTGCTTCAAAAAAAACGAGTTCAGAAATTGGTACTACATCTGAAGAAGAAAATTCTCAAGAAGAAAATAGTAATGATAATAGTAGTAGTGAAGAAATTGGATATCAAGACGATTACCAAGAGGATTATCAAGAGAATTCACAAGAAGTAAGAATGAAAATGAAGTGGAATCAAAATATTATACCTGAATCAGATTCATTAACATTAACCACCACTCATCATTCTACATAATCTACGGAAATATCCACTTCTACTAATATTAATAATTCTTTTATTTGGCGATTTTTTAATCGATTACCAAAATCATGAAGGTGCTATATGTTACCAATGTGGAAAGAAATATGGACCAAAAACATCAACTGGAACTTTTAAATCTCATTTAAAACAAAAGCATGCTAATGAATATGTTACTTTATATCAGTCAACTCTCTTATTTCCGATTATTGATTCTTATCCACATGATATTCAACTTATAAAATTTAAATTACTTTTGAATTGGATTATTATAACTATGCAACCATTTTCTATAGTGAGTTCTAATAGTTTTAGAACATTAATAAAAAGCTTAGATCCTTGATTTGAATTACCTACTCGTCAGTGTGTATTGAGTATATTTTGAAGTACAACGAAATGCTATTAAGCATTAACTTTCAGAAATTGAAAGTAAGTTTCATTTACATGTGACATTTGGTCAAGTATAAAAATGGAGGGATTTCTTGCTATTACAATACATTTTATTGACAAGAATTAGATATTATGACATTTTATACTAGATGTTTTTAGAATTTTGAGCTCGCATACTGGCAAGTTTATTTTATATATTAGTATTATTTTTAATATATTTTGTTATTATTATTATATTTTGTCGTTATTAATTTATAATTATTACTATTTGAATTCTAACTAAAATATATATTTGATTTGCAAATATCTTAATAATTCTGTATGCATTTGTTCAAAAATAATTTTATAATTAATAACAAAATATATTTAATTTAATTTTTATTATTATATTACAATTATTTGATTATATACTAAATAAAAAAGTATTATTTTAAATTTTAATGTAGGTTCTTCTCTTTCAGATATATAATAAACATTTTAAATGAATTTTCTCTTACCGATCAGGCACTTGCTCTTACCACTAAAAATGTTGCTAATATCATTTCTGCAGGCACACTTTTGACTACTGAATTAAAATGCTAATAGTCTTTCTACAGGCTTTAGTATCTATCGATGTGCAGCACACATTCTTAATCTTGCTGTAATTGCTGGAATCAAAAACAAGAAGAATCAGTCAAAAATTACGCAAATTTATCAAATATATTCGAAAATCAACTCTAGCTCTTGATGAACTTGAAAAAATCTTTACCTCTATTACTTCTGAAACCTCTTCTTTAAACGACCAATTATTGATGTTCGAACCTGGTAGAATTCAAATACAAGATGATTAAGCGAGTAATTGAAATTAAAAATTCTTTAGAAATATTAACAGTCAGACAAAGACATTTAAGAATTTATTATCGAAATACTGAAGAATGAGAAATTTTGGGAGTAAGTATTGTTTTAAAATCAGATTTATTATTAATATTTTTTATAAATAGGATTTTGATCAATTACTTGAACAATTTGATATTGCAACAACAATGTTATCAAAAGCAAAATATCTAATAATTGCTGAATGTCGTATTATTTTTCTGGGTTTAAAAGCCAACCTTACAGAAAATAGAACTTACTTCAAAATGTGGTTGATGCGATATAGTACAAATTAGAAGTGTATTAACAATATCTTGATTAATCATCACATATTGCAGCATTTCTTGATCCACGATTAATGCACAGCACAAGAAATTTTTGTACCAATTCAAACTTGTTTGCCATTAATTTATACGGCAACATCTTCAAATGAAACTCAAAATCTTCAGGGTTATCAATATTTTACAAGTCGTTTAACTCAATCAATTCATAGAAGAATTGCATCAAATAATTCAAATGATGAAATTGAACGTTATTGGTTAACACAGTAATTCCAGAAAACATGACACTTTTAGAATTGTGGAAAGCACATGCAAAAGAATATCCTCAGCTTGCAAATTTGGCACGTGATTATTTATCAATACAAGCTGCATCTATTCCTTGTAAACAATTATTTTCATCTTCAGGTCAATTATTATCAAAAAGAAGAGCAAAATGAAAAGCAATAATTTACGAGCAAATTTATGTTTACGATCATGAATTATGGAAAAAATTGTATAAAAAACCAATTTTATAGTAATGGTATATGTATATTTTATATATAGTTAAATAAATCACAGAATTATGAAAAATTTCAAATCTATAAATTAATAATGATCAATCTGAAAAATTTTGATATACCGATACCACTAGATTTGTCTAGTTGAGACGAATTAAAGATTTTTTAAATCGGTCCACTGGCGCCGAAGATATTATGATTGAGAGTTCTACAAAATTTTTGCAGTTTGCTGAAAAAACAGCAAACGACGAGTATCTCACGACAGAAGAAATATCAACGGATAAAGGTAATTCTGATTAATCATAATTTATTTTATTATATTAAGTGTTCCATGTAATACGAACAAGAAATTCAGGCTTGAAAAGATAAGTATAAAATAAAAACACCATTTTTTTTGGTATTATAAATCATATTACTAACAATAATCCAAACAAAATCTTATTTCTGAATGCCTCAAATTTTCCAAGAAAAACGCTCCTGTATCTACACTCTCCGACAAGAAGAATATTTATTTTGAGAAATCGCAGTGTCAGAGCAGGTGGACTTGGCTTTGGTCTACCGAATATGCAAGAAGAAAGAGGAAACTGGAAGCTTCGACAAAGATCTAATACTTGGCCGCACACCAATACCAACCCTTTTGTCGCACTACAAACGGAATGCCATATGAATAATACATGTTTCATCGCTGTCCAGGTCCAAAACGAGCTCAAAAATGAGTTGGAGGTTGATTTATCAGTGGAGAGTATATGGCGAAAAATGGCTTATTCGCAAGAATAAGACGAAAAAACCTTTATTCAGTAAACTCACTGAAAGAAAAGATTAGATGGGTGAAGAAACACCGAAGTTGACAGCTGATGATTGGAAGTAGTAAACATTTAAAAGATCACTATACCAACAGTGAAATTCAGCGGCGGTTCAATTATGGGGTTGCATTACCACCGATGGAGTTGGCGAACTCAAAAAAATCGATGGAAGAATGATAGCTGATATCTACGTTAATAATCTGTTAGACACAGTCTGGGAAATGACTAAAAGCAACGCGATGATTTATCGAAATGAGATCACTTGACTGGCCATTGTAGCCCCCTGACTTGAACCTTATCGAACGAAGTCAATAGGCGTTTGAGGTGTCTTCCTGACTCGCTTTCATCGAAAGAAGACCTTTAAATATTTTCTTCCAAATCAGTCGTATTACGCGGAACGCTAAAAAAATGTATATTATTAGAATTAGATAATAGCGATAGAAAATAATACAATAATTAAAGCCACTTATCATTACCCGTCTATATTGACTCTATTGTGACTCACAACAGAGGCAATAGTCATGAGATATTTCATCCTCGCTATTTTTTCTTGCGTTCCATTTATTCTGTAAGCCGTTGTACAATCTGACACCATTAGATCTATACAACGGAACGCAGAGAAAAAATTGCGAGATTCAAATATCTTGCCATTAAGGAGTTATCGAAGACTAAGCTAAGTAGATTTTATTCAATATCTATAGAACACTTTTTCGTTATTCTAAACAATAATTCTAAACCATTTTTTATTCCAAAATGTCTCGCATTTCACTAGAAAAATGCGTACTCTCTGACAAGAAGGATATCTGGTCCAGGAAATCGCATTATCGGAACAGGTGGGCTTAGCTTCGGTCCAACGCATCAATGTAATACTAAAATAATAAACAAAAACTTATTTTAAGTTAAAAAAAATTTATTATATTTAAAAAATACTAATTATATAGTCATATTAGATGATAAGAATTTGAAAATAAAGATTCTTTTTATATATTAATAAGATATGCTCCATTGTGAAAAATTTGATTTACATCAGATAAATATTAATAGATTATTTTTTCAAAATAAAATTTTTAATTTTGTTTTATTTAATTAAGTTATTAGATATTGGGATTTATTTAAATATAAAATTTTTTATTATATATCTTTTAAAAAAAAATTTTACTATTAATTACTTTTTTCAATTATTATTTCTTAAATTTTACTATATAAAATTTAATTAAAATTAATATAAAAATTACATAGTAAATAATTTAATTACTAAACTTTGAATCTTAATATCTTTATAACTACTAATTCAATTTTTCTGAAATTTAGAATATATATTTATTAAATATAGGACAACCTGCTTTTAAAATTTTAATATTGCAAATTGATAGCAATAATATTTAAAATATCATTTTTTTTTAAAAAAAATAATTTTATTTTACTTTTTTTAGTAAAGTAATACTTCATTTATTATTAAATTAAAGTATTGTTATGGTGAATTGATAAGTGGATTTTCACTTGAATTTATCTTAATGATATAGGGTTGGGAGAGACTGAATTAATTAAAAGATAAAGAGAGGGAAATTAGACTATAACTTTCAATAATGGCAAAGATTTCTAAGGTCTGTGTCAATATCTACAGATATTATCTTAACAAAGGATAAAATAAATAAAGAAAGAATAAAATAAATCAACAAAATTATAAAGATCAACTTAGTAAAGCCACTAGTAATCAATATAATTCAAGATTTAAGATTATTAAATATAGTAAAGCTACTATTAATCAAAGAAGACTATAACTAATAAAAGATAAAAACTAAAATATAAAAACTAAATAACTAAACTAAAATAAGATATGACTTATTTATAATAGAGATCTTCTACTCTCAAAAATAATAAAACAAAAAATATGGCTTATTTATAATAGAGATCTATTACTCTCAAAACAATATCAAAAATCAAAAATTAATATAATATTATAATCCAAAAATCAAAATTAACTTTATATAGTTAAAGGAATAAAACTGAATGAAAGAAAGAGTACTAATATAATTAGAAAAGAAATTTTGTAAGTTTTTTAATTATATTTTCCAAATAATTTAATCCAAAACTGTTTATTTCAAGCTGGAATAGCAGATCCTTTTATATATTTTTCAAATATATAAATTATTATAGTATTACTA